TAGACACACACAGAGCCTTTGTCTGCAACCAGAATTGCAGGTTGGATTCTCTTATTATTACAACAATGAAATCTGTCTGGAATTTCTTCTTTGAGATAGACTTTCATGTGACTGCTGCACTTTTTTCCAGTAAGTTATACATGCCTCTTGTCTGCCAAAAAAATCCCTGCATGTGGAACTCCTAGAAATACATATATATACACACACACGCACACACATGTGATTTGGCATTCATAGCACCCAGCAGGAAGGAAGTGCACAGCTTAGCAATGCAGCACTGTGAGAAATAATACCTGGTGTAGGTATTGCCTTTCAAACATGCCGTTAGATGCTCCTGACAGGAAGAATTCTGTCTTCGTTGACCATTATTGTTGTGTTCCTATTATTTTTAGTATTTTCTGCCAATTATTTTTGTTTCCTAGTACAAGCACTGTAATGTTAAATGTTGGGTGTTGCATACCTCAATTTATGTACCCCGATCTATATATTTTATATACAATAAAAGGTTAAACCACACTCTGGGGAAAGCCTGAGTCAGTCTCCTAACCTGTCTAATACAACTCTTAAAAGTGCACCTCAGCCTGTTAAGTTGAACATGACAAAGTGTTTCAGCCAACACAATATTCCCCATCTCTTCCTCATCTGTTAAAACACTTTGGGCTCAGGCTGAGAATGTTCTAGAAAATGCTGATCTGTTCCTAAACATGCACAGTGCCAGGACTCCTCTGGCTGTGCGAGGACCATCCTGCAGCTGGCTGGAACAGAAACCAGGCAGTTTACCAGCACAAACCTCAGAGAGCACACACAAGGAACAACACTTACATTTTGAAAGTGACTCGTTCTGTACAATAGTCCAACCTTCATCTGCAACCAGAATTATGGGTTGGATTCTCTTATTCTGACGATAGTGAAATCTGTCTGGAATTTCTTCTTTGAGATACACTTTCATGTGACTGTTGCAGTTTTTCAGTAAGTTATACACATCTTCTTTGTCTGCCAAGAAAAAAATTTGCATGTGAAACAGCTGGAAATTAACTCCTATTTACTACAATTACCTGTCATTAAATCTAAGATCCATTATTTCAAAACAATTATTTTTTAAGACACACAGATAAGGATTTTTTCATGTCCCTAATGAAATGCTACATGTATGGTGGATTTCACAATTTGCTTTCACTTAAAACCAAACACCTCACAGCTGTGGTTTTGGACCTGCAATTCAACTTAGCCTCTGGGCTTGCAGGGCAAAATGCAAGCAGAAAACTCGAGAGAGAGCAATTATACCCTCAGGTATTCAATATTTTACCCAATGCAGTAAATACTAATTTTTTTAACTGTATGAATCACTTTGTTCATTAGAATCACTTTAGTCAGGCCACAGTTGTGGAAACTGAGCCCAGCAGTGTCATGATTTAACATACCCAAGATACAAAAATTGAATTCACAGTACAAAACCTGAAGTTTCACACTCAGAAGTGGCAAAGTGATCTAAGTTGGGTTTAGAGTTTTACTTGAAAGTTTAGACAATGACATTTTCTATTCTGAATAAACACATGGGTTTATTTCATGCTCACTGTGGATTACAGCTGCATAGACTAAGTGAACAATGCATGCATATCTAGTTTCTCAATAAGCTGTACCATCTTTATCACCCACACCAATTTGAAAAGAAACCCTCCTTGGCCGACTGATTACCAAAACCAAAGTAATTTCTAAATAAACCAACATTCTTTAGCTTATTAATTATGTCAAAGTTCCGCAATATGAACTCCACTGGTTTTGCAAAAGATGTGAACAGTCTAGCATAGTGTCTGCTTTTTAGGAGTAAGATAAACAACACTGAATTCTCAGTGTACGATTTATTAAACAACCAAAGCAAACCATACTCTGTCTTGGCAGCACTGCGGCAACAGGAGTCTTGTCTATCAGAGTGTAGTTATTGCGGCCGATGCATTCGTCCAGGATAATCAGCTTCTTTGCAGAACAGGAGGCCATTCCATGATCACTAGTTATGATGACATTAATAGTGTCCCACAAACCTAGTGCCTTCAGTTTATTCATGAGGAAACCAATATGATTATCCACCTCTTCTAGTACTTTGCGCATGTTCTCGGTGTCGTCTGGTCCATACTTGTGCCCGCTTGCATCTGGTTCTTCCCAGTATAACACAGCAAAATTGACCACTGGGTTGGAGCTGTTCAGCCAACCAACAATCTTCTCCACTCTCTCCTCAAACGTGACAGAGAAGTTGTACTTCATGTAGAACTGAGGGGTTGTGTCATTAATTCTCACGTCAGAACCAGGCCACATCGCAGCAGCACTTGCTCCCTTTCCCTGCTGCTGGTTTGTCACCCAAATTGGAACTGCCTCATCCCACCAGAAGGGATCTGAATCATTGAATTGTGAAAATTTTTTCTTAGCATCTACATCATACATGTCATTAGCCACAATGCCATGGCTCTCCTCATATAAACCCGTCACAATGGTGTAATGGTTTGGGAAAGTCTTGGTGATAAAGGAATTCATGACTTGTTTTACAAGCACACCATCCTCAATGAACTCCTGGAGATGGGGAAGTTTATAGATTTCCAAATAATCAGCTCTGAAGCCATCAAAGGACACGAGGAGTAACCTGGGTACTGAATCAGCAGTCGTGCAACCAAAACAGACAAGTATTACAGCAAAAAGCAACATTAATATCGAGCTCATTGTTGAAGCTTCAAAGTACTTCCAGCAGGTAGTCAGAAGCACCTGAAAGATTTGACAAGGTAAGACATGTAACCAAATAGCTGTACTGGAACCAGTTTAACTAGCTATACATTATGTACATCTGCCTTAGAGAGGGTAACTCCAAAATATGCAATCCAAACACCACTGGAGTCAACAGTGGATTTCCCTACTGACTTCACAGGTTTCTCATACACATCATAGTTTTTCATACATTAAAACAAATGAGCAAGGAGATTTTTTCATTACAGACTAAATGAAAGGAAGAATTGTTTTATCTCTTTCAAGCAGTTCTTCCATATGTCTTATTACAATTCTACCTCTCAAGAAAGACAATCAGTATTTGCCCTCATGTTCAGGCACAGGCACCTGAACAATTCTGGCCCCATAATTAAGAGTCCCGTGCAGCTCTAAATCCTTACTACATATCCCTGCTCAGGCCACAAGTCTGTTTTCTACTGGAATTTTCTTTTCCGTCCCACCTTTCCTTTTCCACATTTTTCACCCCCTGGAGTTGCTGGAAGACTTTTGAGTCTTTCAGCTCATTGCTTACTCTATACATGGAACTTCCAGGAGTAACTTCTCCTTTCTTTCTAATCTGGTCTACATCTACCACAACTGTATTTAAATCTGTTTGCTTTCTCTAGAATCCTATTTTTCTCTAAAACAAGTATTTTTAAAAAATCATTAATAACCTTAGCCATGAGAAGTATTTCTCATCAAGAAATTCATTACTATTATGAGTGCAAGGTATGATTTGTAAGCTGTTTTTGTTCCCTCCACTCAAATTATGTGTGACAGAAGCACTTTGCTCAGGAAATGATTCTTTAAGTCTTTAAGAAAGAGGAAGCTCCAGGTTTCACAAAACCACCTGCAGTGTTGTTAGACAGTGTTTTTATTCCTCAAGAGCAGCCCCACTCCAGCAAACATCTCCTTTATCTCACTCACACAGTGATCTAAGGGGAGCAGCAGCTGTTTTCCCAACTCCTGTAACATCAACCCTTTTTCCTAAACCCCTTAGAACTGCGTGTATATTATTCCAAAGGTGTAAGTAACTTTAATGTTAGCTAAAGCATTAGCAGTGAGCAGAATTCGAAGCAAGGGAAATCACTCCTCCTGCCACCAACAGTTAAAATTTCTGTGAATACAAGTTAGGAGAAAGGATCGTCCAAAACAGCATTAAGGCACCTCCCAGTACAGCGGACTTGGAGCATACAGTCCGTCTAAAGATGCAAAGAAATGAGATGCGCAACGAAGCAGAGAAATCACCCGCTTGATGCGCCAGGCGCTTTAAAACGCAGAACCGGAGTTCTTCATCGCGCAGGAAGAACCAAACCCACACTATTCGCCCCAAAGCTGCTTAGCACCTGCGGTGTCACACACAGCCCTGACACGGCACCAGCACTGCCGCCCCCCGCGCCGGAGCCTCGCACG